CACATACAATGACACTGAGGGCCGCATTTGGCCCCCGGGCCTGAGTTTTGACATGCCTGGACAGGGATGATCTGAGACAGTGGTCATCCCGCTCCTATGGACCAAAGGCTCCTATGGACCAAAGGCTCCTATGGACCAAAGGCTCCTATGGACCAAAGGCTCCTATGGACCAAAGGCTCCTATGGACCAAAGGCTCCTATGTGTTTGTTATTGTATTTCCTGTGTTTGATTCCTCAACAACAGATTAGAAAATCAAACCGTTTGAACACAGCAAATGCAATGATAAAAACACATTGGAGCCATCGATCCAGAGGCAGCACCACGACCACTGTCCGTAAATGTCTCGGATCGTCACCGTCATTAGACCCTCCTGCATCAGCAAGAAAACACTATTCTCTGATCTGTTGTTGGTGAATCAACAACTTTGTAAAGTCCACAGAGACAGCTGACTCATGTAACTCGACCCGAGCTGAACTACACAAGCCTAAAAATAAGATAAATTAGCTTGATTTAAGCTAATCGTCTCCGGGTTTGAGTAATTTTCTTGTCCTAAAAGAAGGGATCAAGCAGCTCTGGTGATATTTCAAGTGTCGACGCATGTATTTTCATTCCAAGTGACAATTTGCCTGTCGTTTTCATATTTCAAAGGGAAATTTTATTATGAAAAATTGTCTTCTTTGATCCTTTCAACGCTGTTACAACGTCTCTGATCTAAAACAGACGTTAAGTTTACACACTGCTTAAGGTAATTTGAGGATCACCAACGCATCCCCCCGCCCCTTCTGTCGGATTCAAATTCAGTTTAAATGCCTTTTGCAGGTAAAAAATAATCGCAAAACATATGGGCTTGTTCACACTAAAGGGCACAAAAGTGTGACAAAAGGCCAAAAATTAGATTTTAATAATCAGAAGATATTTTATGTTTTTCATGTATCCAAACACCTCTGTCCATTAGAAGTTGCTAGAACCAAACTCTTTTATACTTTAGACAAGTTTCCTGTAGCGGCCCTGATTATTTGATGTAACGGATGATGATTTGACGGAATGAGCTGCAGAAGTTTGTTACGTATTTTCAGATCCACATTTGATTAAGAGATTCTATTTTTTTACACATAATAGAAGCAAAGTGATACTTTCATATAGTCAACCAATTAAATGTGAAACCAGACCACTTTTTTTTTCCCTCAAGTTTAATCGTTAGAGAAAAATTGACGGAAACCAGCTAGTCAGTTACACATTTTTCAAGGGTCATTCAATTTCTTTATTTTTATTTTTTTTACGATTCCTTTTTAAATCAAGCGATTTACTGATGTTGTGTTAGCCATGTTAATCTGTGGGATTTCATCTGCCGACATTTTGTTTTCTATGTAACTGGCGTCACAGAAGAATGGTCCAATCAGAAGCTGATTTGGTCGTTCAAAATGTCGCCAAAAATATATTTGTCAATCATTCCTTTTGATTTTATCCACAGTATCTCTTTGCTCTGTCTGTGTTTGAAATCTTTTTTTTTCCAATCTATGATAGTAATTTTAGTTTTTGATTTATCACCTTTTAAAGTCCAGATACTTTAACTGACACTTTACTGTGAACGCACTCTTATGTGTAAAGAAAAACCCAGCGAGCAGACAATAGACACTTTAGAGTCAGAAATGATTGTTTTTGTTTTTGTTTTTTCAAACCTGCAGGAAACAGTTTCCCTAATTTTACTAATACAAGTACAAAAAGAGTTTGGATTCAGCAGACGCATCATTTTGTCCCAACCCCTATGTAGAAAAACAGACCAACTGAACCTGGGAGAGAAGATATATACGTAAAAATAGAAACAGGACAAATTCAAAATCCAGCCGTTTCAGTCTTTTTTCTTTCAGTATAGGATTATAGGTTCCCCTGGGCGCCTCCTCAAAAATGGTCTAAATGTCTTGTTTTTCATGATAATAATAATAATAACTTTACATGTCATTATTCTGTCACTGTGTACATGGTGGTGATAAACATCTATTGTCGCCACAGCTGCCCTGGGGCACACTGACAGAAGCGAGGCAACCAGTCTGTGCCATCGGCTCCTCCCACCACACCAGACTCACTCTAATGTGGGTGAAGTGTCTTGCCTAATTATTCTGAAATCTCAGTGGGACTTCCTGGTTGAATAAAGGTGAATATTCAAATAGATTACTGTACGATAAATCCACAGATTACTACATCATGGTCAGACGCATGTTTTACCGTTTAAACCCAAACTATTGCCTCTAGTCTAATTTGGTTCAGCCAGTTTTTTCAACAACAAAAATTAATAAAGGAAAGATAGAAATAAAAAATAAGAAAGAAAGTAATCCTTATTTATACAGCGCCTTTCACAGAACAGAGTCACAAAGAGCTTTACAATTGTTCTGGGCATTTGTCTGTCACTGTTGTATGTTTTCAGTGGTAGGGTAAACCGGAGCACCTGGAGGAAACCTGCACAGACACGAGGAGAAAGGCCAGATTTTCCCATTGAGGACAGTGATAGTCAAAGAAATGAAAGAATATTTTAAATTTTTCAACTTTTACGGACATTCATCATCGGCCCCTGACGGACCGATGGCTCTGTGTGTATTTTGTCTTTGCATTTCCTGTTTTTGAACGGTTTGATTCTCTGATCTGTTGTTGGTGAATCCACAGCTTTGTAAATTCACCCGATATAACTACTGTGGTGATGTGGGGTTATACAAAAATCATTTGAAAGGCATTTAATTAAATCAAACATGTATTACACTGCAAAAAGTGGGGAAAGATAAGTCAGAAATGTCTCAAATTTTGCCAAATGTGTCTTAGATTGAGCACATTCTGACTGCGGTAAAATCAGATCTTGTTTTAAAAAGATAAAAGAAAAACCTACACTACTGTTGACACTGTTTCTTGATGCATGTAACATGTTTGCACATAGGCCTGTCACGATAACAAATTTTGCCTGACGATTAATTGTCTCTGAAATTATTGCGATAAGCGATAATATTGTCATTCTGAGATCATTATCTAATACAATGATAAGGATGCAGGTGCACCTTTTAAAAGGGAAATTCATTTTCATCTTTAAATACCTCCGCCGGAAGTGGCGGAAGTAGCGGTTGGGCTTTGATGCTAACAGTGTTAATATGTGCTGGCATATGTTCACAAATACTGTGTCCCGCATTGTCATCCTGGTTAAGTCCTGGTTTAGTCCTGGTTTAGTCCTGGTTTAGGGCCTGTCCATGCCAAATGTGACATGTACATTTCTCCTGTGTGAGATCAATATAGTCTAATCTTATCTTATTTATTAGTTTATTTGGAAGGGACAGAACAAAGAACATTGTTACTTTATAACCGATGCCATGTCCGTAGCCCCTCGAGCCAAACGCTAATTGGCAGACCTGGTCCCTAACACCTAACAACAACAAAACAGTAAAACATGAGTCACATACGTAGGCATTAAAAGTACAGAACAAAGTTAAGATACAACACGAAAGTTCACAGTAGACACATGAATCGAACGTTTTAGTGATTACAGGCTTGCTTGGTTTTCAGCCACTGCTTTAGTTTGGAGCATTAAAACGTCACTCCATGACCTTGCACCAAAATATATTAGTGACATGTTAGTCTCATATGAACTGGCCCGGACTCTGAGGAGCACAGGGACTGGACTCCTGCTGGGACTCTGAGGAGCACAGGGACTGGCCTCCTGCTGGGACTCTGAGGAGCACAGGGACTGGCTTCCTGCTGGGACTCTGAGGAGCACAGGGACTGGCTTCCTGCTGGGACTCTGAGGAGCACAGGGACTGGCCTCCTGCTGGGACTCTGAGGAGCACAGGGACTGGCCTCCTGGTGGGACTTTGAGGAGCACAGGGACCAGCCTCCTGCTGGGACTCTGAAGAGCACAGGGACTGGCCTCCTGCTGGTACTCTGAGGAGCACAGGGACTGGCCTCCTGCTGGGACTCTGAGGAGCACAGGGACTGGCCTCCTGCTGGGACTCTGAGGAGCACAGGGACTGGCCTCCTGCTGGGACTCTGAGGCGCACAGGGACTGGCCTCCTGTTGGTGCCCAGAGTCAGGTCTAAACATGAGTCTGCTTTTCAGATTCATGCTGCTAAAATCTGGAACAATCTTCCTGAAGATGTGAGACAGGCCTCCTCTCTGACAATGTTTAAAACCAGGTTAAAAACAGTTCTGTTTAGCTGTGCATACAGCTGAGGGATTTTATATTTTTATCTTTCTGTGATTATTTATGATTTTAACGCTATCTTGTTCAGCACTTTGCCTTGTGTATGAATAGTGCTATACAAATAAACTGGCCTTGTCTTGCCTTGCAGCTGAACTGGTTTAAATCAGTGATTGATTTCAGTTTTTCAAAAGTTCCTCAGAGGGAGTGAGCTTTGGAACCAAGACAATAACAACATTTGGAAAAAAATCATTTACCGATTTAAAAACTTAAAACTTACAAAATGTCTCCCTTGGAATAAGAAAAAAAGCAACAGATCTTGAAATGTCTTTGTCCCACTGGAGAATCTTGTTTTAACTCATGGACTGCCAGCCGTTTTTGATGATTTAACTGATTCTCAAGACACACAGAATATTATTTCCTTAGACTATGTGAAATATGAACCCAGATTCTGAAAGACTGGATTGTCTTCTTTCATCAGTAAAAATAATTTAGTTTCTAGCTATTTTTATTGTCCTGAACTCCCCGGTCGAAAAGAGGGTCTCAGACAAATACGTCAATGGAGTTACCATAGTCAGAAAATGCTCAGATTAAAAACCACTATAGATTCAAGAAATGATCACCTAATTTTTGCATTTTTTGTTGTATTTGACGGCCTCAGGTCTCCGGTGCGACTCCACAGATGCCCCGGGGTCTTCGCCTGTGCTTCTAAACGCACTCATCTGTGGATTATAGCTGGTGTTTTGCAGACGCGTGCTCGGCTGCTGCGCTCCGGCCTGGGTCTGGCCTGCTTCGCTGGGCTGTGCTGCGGTGAGCCTGACAGAGCCATATGGGACAGTTTTGCGCTGGCATCCTCATAAAGCCGTGGGAGTCGAGATGCCGGCTCTCCAGGACCGACACGTTCAGGCGATCAGGTCACCATGCAGACAGCAGCTGCCACGCCCCAACTCCAACCTCCAACCACGCACCTCCAACCTCCAACCACGCAACTCCAACCTCCAACCACGCACCTCCAACCTCCAACCACGCACCTCCAACCTCCAACCACGCAACTCCAACCTCCAACCACGCACCTCCAACCTCCAACCACGCAACTCCAACTTCCAACCACGCAACTCCAACCTCCAACCACACACCTCCAACCACGCACCTCCAACCACGCAACTCCAACCACGCACCTCCAACTTCCAACCACGCAACTCCAACCTCCAACCACACACCTGCAACCACGCACCTCCAACCACGCACCTCCAACCACGCAACTCCAACCACGCACCTCCAACTTCCAACCACGCAACTCCAACCTCCAACCACACACCTCCAACCACGCACCTCCAACCACGCACCTCCAACCACGCACCTCCAACCCCGCGCCTCTAACTATGCACCTCCAACCTCCAACCTCGCACCTCCAACCACGCACCTCCAACCACGCACCTCTAACTATGCACCTCCAACCTCCAACCACGCACCTCCAACCTCGCAACTCCAACCTCCAACCTCTAAATTCCAACCACGCAATTCCAACCTCAAAACTCTAACCTCCAACCTTGCACCTCCAACCTCGCACTTCCAACCGCGCACCTCCAACCTCGCACTTCCAACCTCGCACTTCCAACCTAGCACCTCCAACCACTCAACTCCAACCACGCACCTCCAACCTCCAACCACGCAACTCCAACCTTGCACCTGCAACCTTGCACCTCCAACCACGCAGCTCCAACCTCCAACCACGCACCTCCAACCATGCACCTCCAACCACGCACCTCCAACCTTGTACCTCCAACCTCGCAACTCCAACCTCCAACCTCAATCCTCCAACCTCTAAATTCCAACCTCAAAACTCTAACCTCGCACCTCCAACCTCGCACCTCCAACCACGCACCTCCAACCACGCACCTCCAACCTAGCATCTCCAACCACTCAACTCCAACCTCGCACATCCAACCACGCAACTCCAACCTCGCACCTCCAACCACGCACCTCCAACCACGCACCTCCAACCTCGCAACTCCCACCTTGCACCTCCAACCTCAATCTTCCAACCTCTAAACTCCAACCTCGCACCTCCAACCACGCAATTCCAACCTCCAAACTCCAACCTCCAACCTCGCACCTCCAACCATGCAACTCCAACCTCCAACCTCACACCTCCCACCCTGCACCTCCAACCATGCAACTCAAACCACGCACCTCCAACCTCGCACCTCCAACCTCGCACCTCCAACCTCGCACCTCCAACCATGCAACTCCAACCTCCAACCTCCATATTCTAAACTCCAAACTCCAACCTCCAACCTCGCACCTCCAACCATGCAACTCCAACCTCCAACCTCACACCTCCAACCTCCCACCTCGCACCTCCAAACTCAATCCTCTAAGCTCGCACCTCCAACCACGCAATTCCAACCTCCAAATTCTAACCTCCAACCTCCATATTCTAAACTCCAAACTCCAACGTCCAACCTCGCACCTCCAACCATGCAACTCCAACCTCCAACCTCGCACCTCCAACCATGCAACTCCAACCTCGCACCTCCAACCTCAATCTTCCAACCTCTAAACTCCAACCTCGCACCTCCAACCACGCAATTACAACCTCCAACCTCCAAATTCTAACTTCCAAACTCCAACCTCAAACCTCCAACCTCCATATTCTAACCTCCAAACTCCAACCTCCAAACTCCCATCTCTAAACTCCAACTTCCAAACTCCTATCTCTAAACTCCAATCTCCAAACTCCAAACACCAACTTCCAACCTCAAACCTCCAACCTCCATATTCTAACCTCCAAACTCCAATCACGCAATTAAAACCTCCAACCTCCAACCTCCAAATTCTAACCTCCAAACTCCAACCTCTAACTTCCAATCTCTAAACTCCAATCTCTAAACTCCAATCTCTAAACTCCAATCTCCAAACTCCAAACTCCAACCTCCAACCTCCAATCTCCAAACTCCAACCTCCTGGACAAAACCATAATTTATTTATCTATGTATTTATTATTATTTATTTCAATGTTGGACATGACAATATTTCTAATATACACTGCAAAAGGGGCGACAGTAGCTCAGTTGGTAGAGCATTGGCCTTTGGGCCTGAAGGTCGTGGGTTCGAGCCCACTGTAAGACCTACTTCACGACTCCCACTGATGACTGCTGTCGTGTCCTTGGGCAAGACACTTAACCCCACTTTGCCCAAAGCCCCAACTGAAAGATCTCAGCTCCTGTGGACTCACCACCTGCAGGAGGATCAGTGAGGGGCTGGTGCTCTGTGTACTGGGTGCAGCTCTGACTGCCACCCCCCCGACCCAGAAATGGATTAGGGGGAAGAAAATGGATGGATGGATGGACTGCAAAAGGTGATGAGAAATAACAATATCTCAAATCTGGCCAAATATAAATACATTTTAGCACATTCTGACTGAACCTTGAAACAAGATTTGCCAAAATGACCTTGTTTTTAAAAGATACAAGAAATGTCTCCCTTGGAATAAGAAAATAAAATTCTTGAAATAATACTAAATGACTTTGTCCCATAAGAGAATCTTGTTTTAACACAGTCAGAATCAATTCAAAAAAGGATAAAATACCCTAGATCCAAGCAACTATTACCTCATATTTTATCATTTTTTGCAGTGTAACAATTAAATTACAAATAACTGTAGTCTTGTCACACAAATCAAATTGAATGTTGCCTTCCCCTTTCTTAAACATGTACACATTTAAAGAAATATTATCAAAGATGGACTGCAGCATTCTCAATATTATTATTATTATTATGAATGAATGTTTTCATTTTCTCTATATTTTCAATCATTATTTCTTTAACTTGTGAAACCACCTCCAGGACCTTTCAGTGTGGAGTTTTGGTGTCTGCTACGGTTTCCTCCAGGTGCTCCGGCTTCCCCGACTACTAAAAACATGTGCAATAGGTGCAGGTTTAATGAGTGTGTGTTTGTGAGTGTGGAACTACAGATGGAAAATTGCTATCAATATACACAAGGTCTATGCTTTCAGTCCATCGCAGACATAACAAGCAACATTGACTTTTCACAGATTTTTCTCGATGTCTGAGTTGTTTTCTCTGGTCACTCGCATATCTGAGTAATTTATATAGCGCCTCTGCTCCTTATTAAACCTCCTTATATCAAACTGGAGTCTTGGACATTTTTGTTTATCCCGACAGAGAGAGAATCTTGGTTAAATTACACTTTGTGGATGAATCACACCACAACATGCTGTCTCTATCTTATCAGAATTTCAAAACATCTTTTATTTGCTGAGAGCTGAGAGGCAGAGCGGGGGTGGTCCTCTCTTTCCCACTTTTCTGTCTGAAAAAGCTGATTTAAAGCTGCGACAGAGGCCAGAAATACAAACTAGTGATAGAACCAAATAGTTTTCAGAGCGAGGAAATGGTAACAAGCCAAATACACTGCAAAAAAAACCGACACATTATGACGGTGTTAAAACCAGATCCAACCGGACAAAGCCGATTAGACTATTTTCAAGAACAGTGGCTTTTTTTTCTCATTCCAAGGGCGACATTTCTTGTATCTTTTTAAATCAAGATCCTTTTGCTTTGAGTAAGATACATTTTGTCCAAATTGAGGAATCTTTCACATAATTCTCATAACTTTTTTGCAGTCTTAAAATTATAGGTACACCAGCTTTGTGTTGGTGATTTTGCTTTTTCGATAGCAGAGGTACAAAGTGAGACCAGAATCCATTCTGTTGTATTCATATTTTGAGCCACCGCACTCTGAAGTTTTTGTAGTAAGTAATGTTTATTTCTATAGCGCCTTTCACAGACCTGAAAGCACTTTATAATTTGTCTCCACACAGAGATGGGAGCAGGGGTGCAAGGGGAAAACGGAGCGACGGGAGGAAACTTATACACAGACACCAGGTGCTACAGAGGGGTGGCTGCGGGTATAAAGTCCCAAACTGTTGTGTCCTTAGGAAAGACACTTCACCCACAGTGGTGTCGGAGGGGCTGATGGCACGGACTGGTTGCCTCGCTTCTGTCAGTGTGCCCCAGGGCAGCTGTGGTGACAGTAGTAGTTTATCACCATCGAGTATGGAGTGAATGAATCATGACACGTGAAGAGTCTTTGAGTGTATAAAAAAATCACAAAATAAAACCAAGGTCTGTATAGAGATCTGTATGTACAGTATACTGAGACAGGAGAGGTCTGTATGTATACTGAGACAAGAGAGGTCTGTATGTATACTGAGACAAGAGAGGTCTGTATGTATACTGAGACAAGAGAGGTCTGTATGTATTTTCATGTTATTATTATTTGATCATACTCATCTTATTTTTATTATTTATATATATATATATATATATATATATATATATAATTTTTATCATTGTAATTTTATAATCATTTTATCATCATAATTTCATATTATTATTTTATTATTATTTCGATGTATTTCAGTCCTTAAATATTGCTATTTGATATTGCTTTTATTTTCAGCCGCATTAATCTTCCCGAGTCCTTCCACATGATTCCTTGATTTGATTTTTGCGAAGGGTTGTGTGAGTAATTACAGCGAGGAACATGAAAACCCTCTGCAGCAGGTGTAAAAATCAAATGCTTAAAGTAAACAAGATGTTTCTGGACCCTGTGCGCCAAAAACACAGACGGTTATCAATCACAACAACAAAGACTCGTGCCGCGGCAACGTTACAAAACAAATGTGTGCTGTGTCTGAAAAATCACCTCTGAATGTATACTGAGAGGTCTGTATGTATACTGAGAGGTCTGTGTGTATACTGAGAGGTCTGTGTGTATACTGAGAGGTCTGTATGTATACTGAGAGGTCTGAATGTATACTGAGAGGTCTGTATGTATACTGAGAGGTCTGTGTGTATACTGAGAGGTCTGTATGTATACTGAGAGGTCTGTATGTATACTGAGAGGTCTGTGTGTATACTGAGAGGTCTGTATGTATACTGAGAGGTCTGTATGTATACTGAGAGGTCTGTATGTATACTGAGAGGTCTGTGTGTATACTGAGAGGTCTGTGTGTATACTGAGAGGTCTGTGTGTATACTGAGAGGTCTGTGTGTATATTGAGAGGTCTGTATGTATACTGAGAGGTCTGTGAGGTCTGTATGTATACTGAGAGGTCTGTGTGTATACTGAGAGGTCTGTATGTATACTGAGAGGTCTGTTTGTATACTGAGAGGTCTGTATGTATACTGAGAGGTCTGTGTGTATACTGAGAGGTATGTATGTATACTGAGAGGTCTGTGTGTATACTGAGACAGGAGAGGTCCGTATGTATACTGAGACAAGAGAGGTCCGTATGTATACTGAGACAAGAGAGGTCCGTATGTATACTGAGACAAGAGAGGTCTGTATGTATAATGAGACAAGAGAGGTCATATATGTATACGGAGACAAGAGAGGTCTGTATGTATACTGAGAGGTCTGTATGTATACTGAGAGGTCTGTATGTATACTGAGACAAGAGAGGTCTGCATGTATACTGAGGCAAGAGAGGTCTGTATGTATACTGAGACAGGAGAGGTCTGTATGTATACTGAGACAGGAGAGGTCTGTATGTATACTGAGACGAGAGAGGTGTGTATGTATACTGAGACAGGAGAGGTCTGTATGTATACTGAGAGGTGTGTATGTATACTGAGACAAGAGAGAGGTGAAATGGGAAATCCGATGTTGCTATAGTTACGATCTCTCACAAACACTTTAGCATAAGTAGCATAGACATGTATGGACTGTTTTGGCAGATTTAGCACAACTTTTTTTTAAACGGAAAAGTGGAAAAAGGTCGGACCACCCTCAAAGACCTCTTCACTTCTCTTCCCGTGCAGCAGATACATGTTTTTGCTTCAAGAGGTTTGATTTCCGTCTCCAGGTCACACTTTCTGATGTAAATATTGTGACAAATAGTGGGTAATTCTTAGTTTTAAAGCTGGTGCACGTAACTTTTGTCGCTCATTAAAAAAAATACATAATAGATAGTGAAGGTTTTTTAACAAATCAGACCACGGCTTACTGTTTAATCTTTTGAATAATTGAAAGAACGAACCCTGTGAGTCACGATTTGCCTCTTTGGGCTGAGAGCTGATTGGCCGAGTGAGGGTGGACCTCTCTCTGTCACTTTTCTGTCTGAAAAAGCAAATGTAAAGATGTGACAGAGGCTTAAAATACATGGATGTGAAAACTGGTGAAAGAGACTGTTTTGACAGCGAGATACTAACGAGGTAAGTTTATTTATACAGCACAGTTAAGCACAAGGCCTCAAAACCATTCAGTTGTACGCACCGCTAAACAAAACTAACCTGGCTTTGAACATTGTTAGAGAAGAAGCCTGTCTCGCATTTTCAGGAAGACTGTTCCAGATTTTAGTTGTATAAATCTGTATAAATTGCTGCCTCTACATGTTTAGTCCTGACTCTGGGAACCAATAGGAGGCCAGTCCTTGACAAGAGAGGTCTGTATGTATACTGAGACAAGAGAGGTCTGTATGTATACTGAGACAAGAGAGAGGTGTGTATGTATACTGAGACAGGAGAGGCCTGTAT